GAGAAGCTTGTGTTGGTGGGTGGGCCCTGCAGTCAGACCAGATGTCCGACCCCTGCCTACTGCTGGGGCTGCAGTCGGACTGGTATGTGTGGTGAACATGCCCTGTCCTGGGGCAGGAGTTACTTCGGAGTGGTGCTGGTGTCTCTCAGAGTTGCTTGCTCACTGCCAGGCTCGTGGCACTGGTTTGGATGGGCTTGGGCCAAGGGCACATTGGAGAGGAGATTCACAGGAGAACTCCAGGGTGGGGCCCCCGATGCCAGCAAGGTCCCTGCTGGTCCACTGCCACTGGAGACCTGCAGTGCACAAGGACAACTCCCAGAGGTGGGCCTAGACAGAGGGGGTGGGTCTGCAGAAGAGCATGGGAGTGAGGGGCACAGCGCTGGCAAGGTCCAGTCCACCATGGGAGGGGCCCTGCAGCTGCCCCCGAAATTTGCTGAGGCCAGGATGGTGGGGGGGAGGGGGCAGGTCCTCAGAAGAGTGCAGGGGTTGGGGGTGGGCAGGACAGGGTGGAGGTTATTACCAAGCAAGGTGAAGATTGTTTGGAGATTGTTCACTCCGTGCTTATTCCCCATAGGTTTCTGGGTGTCTTGGCTGGGAGGTGGGAGAGGGAGATGGCACCTGCGAGCTCTTTTGTTCTGGGAGAAGTCTTCCAAGGATCCCTGCCCTCCAGCGCACGCTCTGAGATCAGTAACAGATCTTCCTCCCGAACACGCTGGGCCCGTTTTCAGCCTGCTGCTCTAGTGCTCTATGCCAGCTGTCCCTTTACGGGCAGGTCTCCGTTCCCTGTAGCCTCCAGCTCGCCCAGCGCAGGGCCACAGAGTCTTAAAGTTTCCAGTGCTAAGCTCCGCTGGACTGAGGAAGAACTCAGTCTTAAGCCTGTCTCGTTTTCAAAGCCAAATATGGTGATTTCTTGTATCGTGTGGGCTCTTGGTGTCTGCTCTGGGGCCTCCTCTTCTCCACTCTCTGCGCCTGCTGTGTCTCTGCCTCCTGTGGAGAGTCCTGCGGGTCCGTCGCCTCAGGCCTGTCTCCATCCTTCCTGCCATCTTACATGGCCTCTTCTCTACTTTCAGTTGTGGAGAGTCTGTTCTGCCTGTTCAAGTCCTCTTCTGGGTTACTCACACTCACGCTGGTGTTACCTAGGTGTAACATGGGCTGAGGTGAGCCTAGGACCGTCCCACTCTGCTCTCTTCCCTGGAAGTAAGATTTAGCATAACTCAAAAAGGCCTACGTTTTTTGAAATGGTGAGCATTGGCTTCAATTTCAGGTCACGGGCTGTATTCGCCCCGACCAGACAGCCAGCCTGTCCTTGGAAGCCTCGAAGCCGGGCGCGGACTCCTCCTTTCCAGCCACAGAAAGTCCTAGGTGGCATCCTCTTCCTACGGGAGGCTCTCGCACCCGCCCTGAAATCCTGAAATCTGCTGCTGAGCGCAGCCCCTCTGTCTCCCTGCGCTGTCACGTCCCAGCGATGTTTCCTTCCTGACACCTCCTGAAACCCCCCCCCCCCCCCAACCCCTCCCTACCCGCCTGCTTCAGACCCGGCCTCCGAGGCCTCCACCTCTCTCAGCCGCCACAGGATGGAAGAGTCTGGGCCTCGCTCTGGGCTGGGTGTATCTGAAGGGAATGCTGGGGTGGGTTTCCTCTTCTATCCAGACCACTACCGCGTTCTCCCCCCCCGCCCTTTATTTAAAGAAAGAAAGACGGGAGTGCCTGGGTGGCTCCGTCAGTTAAGTGTCCTACTGTGGCTCAGGTCATGATCTCAGCAGTTATTGGGTTCAAGCCCTGTGTGGGGCTCTGTGCTGACAGCTCAGAGCCTGGAGCCTGCTTTGGATTCTGTCCCCTCTTTTTCTGCCCCTACCCCACTCACATTCTGTCTCTCTCTCTTTCTCAAAAATAAGCGAAAGTCGGACGCTTAACCGACTAAGCCACCCAGGCGCCCCTCAAAAATAAACATTAAAAAAAAAATTAGAAAGGGTGCACAGACATGCAACCAGGGGGAGGGCAGAGGAGGAGAGAGCGAATCTTGAGCAGGTCCCAACACAGAGCCCGATGCAGGGCTTGGCCTCATGACTGTGAGATCGTGACTTGAACCGAAATCGAGAATTGGACATTAACTGTCCTCGCCACCCAGGCACGCTGTTTTTCCCTCTCTTCCTGTCCATGTGCCCCCTGAAGCGGCATTTCCAGTGTCCTCCAGACACCAGCGTGCGCTCACACCCTGGCCGCCTGGCGCAGGAGCCCTCGGCTTGGGCCGGTCTCGGCCTTCACAGGCCTCTTTCTTGCTTGAGTGTCGAGGCTGTTTGTGGGATTGTTACTGGCCCTGATTTCAGTGATGGTGTCTCGGTGCATGGGGGTTCGCCCAAGGAGGGGATCGAGACCGGGGGATGGCCGCTCAGAGGAGAGCAGTCAATGCACAACATCGATCGATTTGGTTCCCCGTCTCATGTGGGCGTGGTTCCTGGGGCCCCAGTTACAGTTACAGAAGTGAAACCAAAGATCACTGGTTACAGATCACCACAACCAGTAATAACAGTGACAGAGACTAAGATCTCGTGAGAACTGCTGCACAGAGGCACAAAGCGCAAATCTGACTGGGAAAATGGTGCCAGTAGACATGCCAACACTGGATCGCCACAGAACCTTCGGTTTGTAAAACATGCAGTCTCCGTGGAGTGCAGTAGAGCGAAGTGAGCGAGATGTGACGTGGCTGTGCTCCGGGCGCCATCGCGCTCCTGCCCCCACTGTCGTCCGTGAGACACAGGCGACCCTGTCCCGCTCCTTTTACGGGTGTGGTGAGCCGCTGTCCCCTTGCTCTCGGTCGTGTGTTTAGTTGACTGTCGGCTCTGGGCCTGGGGCACGTGCGGTGTGCCTGTGTCCTGCCTTGGCTGTGCCTCAGCTCTGGACGCTGATGCTCTCCACACATTTGGGAACTTTGAGGCCTGTTTCTCTGCCTCCCGCACCCCCATTACGCGTTTGGCAGTCTGCTGGCCGTCGCCCCACTGTCCTTAGGCTCGGGTCACGTTTCTTCACCTGTTGTCTTGGGACTGAATCCCTGTGTTGCTTCCTCTTCAGCCTAATTGGTGTTTCTGCCGTGCCAGGCCTGCTGCAGGGCCCTCTTTACAATTTCTGCTCGACTCCCGGCCTCCCGTGCGCTCTCAAGTTTGCCTCGAATCCGTCGTCAGCCACGCCCACAGCCAGCAGCGCTCCCCGCTTCTCTCGGCGTCCTTTCCCAGAGTCTCGGAGTTGTCTGTCAATGACTGAGTGTTGTAGTTAATGTGTTGTCTTGTGTCCACCCCCCCCCCCCCCCGGAGGGGCAGCGATGGTGATGGTTTCGTTGTTGGGGAGGTTTTAGTAACTGCACAGGTCTGACTCTGTGTGCTGCTAGAGTCTCTGCTCGGGGACTGTTCTGCTGTCCGTGATGCTCCAGGGTCACCCCCGCATCTGCACAGCACACTCATCGGAGGTCGCACTCACCCACATGGAGCTCACATGGCCTCCGCCACGTGTTCACAGGTGTGTGCGCTTGCAGGCGAGCTTGGGCCTGCTGTGGCTCGGGGTCCTGGGACTCACACGATGCCTGCACGTGCACACGGGCTGTGTCACTGGCAGGGATGTGGGTGGCCTCGCTCTGGCTGCTGCTTGCCCGCAGACGACCACGGCTCAGGCTGGCTGCACTGCCTGCTGCCGGGCCACTTCCGGATGATCGCGCTAAATCCGGCAGCCCTTCGAGCAGAGATCGTGAAGCCGCAGGTTTTCGTGGGCACCGCGCCCTGGTCCGGCCAGCTGTCGGCAGACAGGGTGGGAGCAGCCTGGATGGGACGCCCCAACGTGCTCTTCTCAGCGGCTTTGATGGAGCCCCAGGAGCACTCTGCCGTCTGTTGTAAGCCCTCAGTCACATTCTGGAGGGGGCACGTGATCGCTTATGACAGTTTGTCCTGCTTGGTGGCAGCTCTTGGCGCTGGGAGTTGGTCAACTTCGCTGTGCATGTGGGAGGGACTTTCAGGCAGCCCGCTCATGCTGTGTGGAGAGTCACCTGGCAGTGGGCAGATGGAGGGGCCCAGGCAGCAGGGACCCCAGCACAGGAGCCCGGTGGAGGTCCTGCCCCGGGAGGTGGCATCAGGGACAGAGGACCGAAGTGATCAGGGTCAGCCCAGGGTGGTTCTTCAGGAACAGCTCATCACGTGTACGTCTCAAACCTGCCGTGGGAGCGTGGCTCGAGTCACCAGCAGCCTTGTGGGGCCACGGCCGGAAGTGGCTTGGAGCCGGAGGGCAGACGTGTTGTGCACGGAAGCAGGGCACCGGGCGTGCCGGCTGAGAAAACAGCAGTAACTCCCGTGTTCCAACCCGAGGAGGGAGGGGAGGTAGCGGTGTCGTTGGCCCTGGACAGTGGGGACGTGGGGTTTGATGTCCCGTTCTCTGTTCTTGGGTGTGTGTTTGGAAATTGTCCTAAATAGAGGGAAGAGAGGTGGGCACAGGTAAAGTTTCTGGGGAGCCGGACGAGGTGGGAAGTGGAGCAGGATGGGAAAATGCAGCGGAAGGACCGAGTGGGGACTGTGGTCTGGGGTTGATGGTGGAGGGCTTGTCACCAGCTGCTCATGAGCAGAGATAAGAAAGTATGCTTGTGTCTAGAAAACTCGAGAATCTGCTGGAAGTATTCCTAGAATCTCACAAGCTAGTGAGAGAGATGGACGTGTGGAAACCAGTAGTACCTTTTGGAGAGGGAGGGGGAGCTGTCGTGAGTACGTGCTGTCTGCAAATTCCTCACCTATGGAGGGGGCCGCCCACTGTCCCCTCTCTCGGGCAGTATGCGGGTGCCATCACGGGGATGGGACGACTCTTCTCCCTAGGTCAGCCGATGGGTCTTCTGAATCTCTCCCAGAAGACACTAAAGTCCCCTGAGAGCCGTCACCTGTCACAGGGTTGTGTGAGCTTCTGTTTGACGAAGGCAAAGGAGGTCACGGGCGCGGTGAGTGCCTGATGAGTGTGTCCCCTCCCTGTGGCAGTTGGGGCGGTGCCAGTTCTCTCCAGAGACCCCGCGTCTGGGAAGAAGGGCCACTTCAACCAGCTGAAGACCCCGCACAACCCCTTGGACTCCAGCGCCCCGCTGATGAAGAAGGGGAAGCAGAGGGAGGTCCCCAAGGCCAAGAAGCCAACCTCGTTGAAGAAGGTACGGGGTGTCCGTTTGAAACCGGGCGCGGGAAACCTGGGACCCTCCTGCTGTGTGTGTGTTCCGTCCTCCAGCTCTTAGCGTTCTGGGTGTGAGTGTACCCCCCCCCACCCCCCCGGCACATGCTCCATGAAGAGGTGTGTGTGGTTCTCTGAAGAGCCGTCCCCTCCCGAGTGACAGGGCGGAGGGGACGGAGCAGGGCGCCTGCGCTGCTGCAGGCAGGCAGTCCTTGGCAGTGACGTTCTCCTCATCTGCCTGTGGGGTGGAAGGGGAGACGGGACCTGCCTGCTGTTGAGATTCCACAGATCAGGTCCCGCCGGGGCTGTCGCAGCCCATGGGGGGTGGTCCGGGGCCAGCGTGCCCTGTTCTGCACACCCAGGGGGATGGGCCGTGTCCCCGCCGTGAGGGCACAGGCAGACATGGTGCCCACAAGCTGACGTTGGGTGGCTTACTTTGCAGAAGAGCTTATTTCTTAAAAGTACAAGTACTTAGGTGTTGTAATTGCTTGTTTGGTTTTAAAGATTATTCTGAAAGAGCGGCAGGAGAGAAAGCAGCAGCGTCTCCAAGAAAACGCTGTGAGCCCAGCTCCCGCCAGTGACACGGTGCAGGACAGCGAGTGCGGTGGCGACGAGGCCCTGGGGCAGGCCAAGCCTTCAGGTACGGGCCCTGCGGCGGGTGTGGCTGTGTGTGAGGCTGTCGGCAGCCTGGCCGTGAGGGCGCCATGTGGACGGTGTCGCCGTCCCTGCGGGTGGCCGGGGCTCTCGGGGCTCTGGGGATGGCGGGGGGAGGTCCCCGAGGGTGATCCGTGAGGCATCAGATGGTTCTCATGACCTGAAGCGGCCGTGACAGTGACCACCAGTAACCACACGGCGGCTGTTCTAGCAGTTTGGGTCTTGGGGCCAGGGAGAGCACGAGTGTGTGGCTTGAGGACTTCTCTCAAAGCGAACACGCGCCCCGCCCAGAAGCGCGACAGTCCCCACGCCCCAGGGCTGTGCCCTCACTTCCTCCTGGCGCATTCCTGCCGCCTGTGCCGCCCCGCCAGCAGCATGTCTGTGGCGGCGGTTCCCCGTGGCCACGGCTGCACGGCATCGGGGCGTGTTCACGGGCCAGGTGGCCGCTGGGCGGCCGGGGAGTTCCCATTCTGGGGCCATCAGAATCTGGGTCCCTGGCAGCGTGCGGGAGTAGCGTGCCCTGCTGGCATGTGCCGGCGGGACTCTGGGCTCGGGCCGCTGCCGTCCACCCGCAGATGCTTCGCCAGACGGGCTTCCAGGGGCTTTACCAGGCCCACCTGCAGGGTGTCACCTTTGCACGTGTGCCCCTGTCCCCTCCCGTGTACTTGGAAGTCTCTGGAAGCCCCTTGGGGACCATGAGCTTGAAGCTCGTAGTTGAGGTATTTGAGTTCAGACCTTATTCGAGGGTTATTTGTTGAAGAAGGGATCTGAACCGTTAACGTGTGAAGAGTCAGGAACTATGTACAATTGCTTTTAAAACTGGGCGATATGAAGGTTAAATTTCAAAATTAAACAGGTTTGGCAACTGAACTGCACGTTTTGTGATGACTAAAATGGTAAACTTCAGAGCATTTTCCCACAGCGGTTGTCGGTAGCTGAGGAGGGGTGGGGAGAGCAGAGCAGAACGTGGCCAGGTTCTGTTTCTCCCAAGCTGTCGGAGCGTGTCCTGCCTCCGTCCTGCCCGCTGTGGCGCTCTGTAGAGGCGGTGTTGTGACGCGGCTCCTCCGGAGACCCTCCCCGCAGGTGCATGCCACGGCCCCTTTCTCTGTGACATTGCAGAGGGCACAGAGGAGTCGGTGTCCCCCACTCCCACAGGGCAGAGCAAGCCCGAAGAGCCGCCGCCATCCGAGCCCCAGAAGGAGGTGGACGGCCGGCGCCCGGGCCCCGATGGCGCTGGCTGCCCCAGGATCCACAGCCGGAGGTTCCGGGAGTGAGTTGCCCTGCGGGGCGGGTGGGCTCGCTCTGGCGTCGGGCGCTGGGCTCCCCGGCCCTGACGTGCCCCGGCCATGGGGCCAGGCCCGGTTCTCATCCCCGTCCTGACCCATGGCCGGGCCACCCGATCTGTGGGGCTTTGTCCTGCTGGCACGACACGCGAGGTACCCTGCCGTCGAGGTTGGCGTTGGGGGGCGGGCAGGGAGGGGTGGCTCCCTCTTGTGGTTTGAGTTCCCAGGAGCTCAGCCTCCTTGCGGAGCACAGTCCACACTCCGGGTGTGGGTTTGTGAGCCGCCGCCGTGGAGTGCATGGCAGGCCGCTGGGGCAGCCGCGGGTGCAGAGGCTCAGTCCCTGGGCTTGGGGTCAGGGAGGACGGGACACCGCTCCGCCTGAGCCCCGCGTCTTTGGCCCCGAGAGGGCCGTGCCACTGCCGCAGCTGTCTCGCCTCGTGTTTTGCAGCTACTGCAGCCAGATGCTGAGTAAGGAGGTTGACGCCTGTGTCACGGACCTGCTCAAAGAGCTGGTGCGCTTCCAAGACCGCATGTACCAGAAGGATCCTGTCAAGGCCAAGACCAAGCGGCGGCTGGTGCTGGGGCTCAGGGAGGTGCTCAAGCATCTGAAGCTCAGGAAGCTGAAGTGCATCATTATCTCTCCCAACTGTGAGAAGATCCAGGCCAAAGGTGAGGAGCCGGACAGTGTCGTCCCGCATGGGCCCGCGGCTGGCCGTGGCATGCTCCGGGTTGGGGGGGGGGGGCAGCTACCCTCCCGGGGTCCTGCTCTGCGCGGCTGGCCCTGTGCGTTCTGCCAGGGCTGCGGCCTCTTTGCTTTGAGGCCGAAGGAACTTTCTATGTCCGTGTGTCCTTCTTGGAAAAGAGAGCTGGTGGCTTGCAGTCATTTTACAGGGACAGCCGGTAAGGCGGCCTGGGGCTGTGTGAAAGTGCTGGGTCTGCTCCAGGGGCGTTTCATCTGCCGGTTCTGAACTTGAATTTTAAGTGGCAGTGGTCCGAGCATTCTGCTTGTTTTAGTTGTCTTGTCTGAGTGCTAGGAGGCTGCACCTGGTGGGCTCTCTGCTCTCGTGGACACTGAGTGGTGGGGGTCGGGAGCAGCACACCCCCCAGAGTCCCTCCCAGGGCATCACACGGGACACATGGGTGGAGAGCTATCCACCAGGGAGTCCCTTCAACATCCGCACCCAGGGATTTTTGTGGGGAGCTGGTTGTGGGCACCCTGTGCCCAGCCTGGCTCAGAGGGAGGTGGTATTCAGCCCACTCGTGCCTGCCTGCAGCCCCTCTCACGGGTGGCCGGGGGGCAGCTGTCCGGAAACCCAAGTTGTGGCTCCAGCCACAGGTCCCCTGGGAAGCAGCTCTTTGAAGGGACAGCAGCCACGTTACTAGTGCTCACACAGCATTTGTGGTCAGCTCTGGGGGTGGGGGGCACGGGGCAGTGGGGCCTCCACATTTGTGGTCAGCTCTAGGGGTGGGGGGCACGGGGCAGAGGGGGCCCGCATTTGTGGTCAGCTCTGGGGGTGGGGGGCACGGGGCAGAGGGGGCCCCGCATTTGTGGTCAGCTCTGGGGGTGGGGGGCACGGGGCAATGGGGGCCCGCATTTGTGGTCAGCTCTGGGGGTGGGGGTCACGAGGCAGAGGGACCAGCATTTGTGATTAGTTCTAGGAGTAGGGGACAAGGCAGAGGGGTCCACATTTGTGATCAGCTCCGGGGGTGGGGACATGGGCAGACGGGCAGGGGGGCTCCGCAGTTGCCGGTGCCAAGTTGGGAGTAGCTCATTGTGGTTGTGGCTAAGGAGCACGCCCGCCGCCCCTCCCCTGTGCTCGCCTCCTGCCGGCCCAGAGCGGATAGTGGTGGCTCTGTCCCCAGGAAGGGCTGTCTTGGTCTCCAGGCACATCTGAGCCAGGGGCTGGGCAGAACTGAGGGACGTGGGGCTTACATGTCAATCCCTGAGGCCACAGACGGAGTTCCCAGTTGCCGGCACAGTGGGGTATGCTTTCAAGAAATTTCTTTCTTGAAAGAAAATGGTATAATTCTACAGAACTAGGGGCCAGGTGCGGGGGGCATGGGCGGTGTTTTCTCCTTGGGCAGATAGTGTGCTCCATGTGGGCCTCCGGCTGCACACACAGGAGCTGGGCAGGGCCCTGCGGCAAGCCCGGGACCAGGGCTCCTTTCTTTGGCACGGTGAGCCCTCCGGATTCCTCCAGACCCACAGAGGAGCCATCATTCCCACATTGGGTGTGTCCTTGGTGGTGTGTGTGTGTGTGTGTGTGTGTGTGAGAGAGAGAGAGAGAGAGAGAGAGAGAGAGGAGAAAGGCAGGTTGGGGGGGGAGGGGGGAGATAGATCTGGTCCCAGCCTGCTGTTGCCTTGGTGTTTAGCTTGACTGCCTGTCGGAGCCAGCCGGTGACTGTGCGCATGCTTGCATTGCTCACGTGGGACTCCAGACTTTCTGGTGTTTCTGCACAGAGACGGGCCGTGCATGCTGTCCTCTCTGCCGGTGGGGACCTCTCCAGGACAAAAGGGCTGGTGCATTCAGGGGTCGCGTGCATTGAACGCCTGTGCCCAGAGCCCTCTGCGGAGGCAGGTGGGGGGTGGGGGGGCCAGCCTCAAAGTTTCCTGGGAGCTGCTGGCCCACTTGTGTTTGTGGGTGTTGATCTTTTTAATATTGATGTGCGCTTTTCTTTATATAACAAGAAAACCCCTTGGGTAAGAGTTGTATTCTTCTGGTTATTTCCTTGTTTTTAAAACGTTTTGACCATACAAAGACTATGGGTGGTATTATTATTTTGGTGTTTTTATTTTTGTATTGTCATTGCCTGTAGGTTTTATGCCATTCCTTGACCTTAACAGTCCAAGGTTATTAAAGATTTTTTAAAAATTTTTTAAATTTATATTTTTAACTTTTTTTAATGTTTTATTTATTTCTGAGAGAGAGACAGTGCAAGCAGAGGAGGGTCGGAGAGAGAGAATCTGAAGCAGGCTCAAAGCTCTGAGCTGTCAGCACAGAGCCCGACGTGGGGCTCGAACCCACGAACCATGAGATCATGACCTGAGCCGATGTCGGATGCTTAACTGACTGAGCCACCCATGCGCCCCCTTTTTTTTCAATTTTTAAAAAAAAATTTTTAAAATTTTTTAATGTTTTTATTTTTTGAGAGAGACACACTGTGAGCAGGGGAGGGCCAGGTAGAGAGGGAGACACAGAATCTGAAGCAGGCTCTGGGCCTGACTCAGGGCTGGAACTCAAGAACTGTGAGATTATGGGGCGCCTGGGTGGCTCAGTTGGTTAAGCATCCAACTTTGGCTCAGGTCATGATCTCATGGTTCATGGGTTCAAGCCCCGCGTCGGGCTCTGTGCTGACAGCTCAGAGCCTGGAGTCGATACCAGATTCTGTGTCTCCCTGTCTCTCTGCCCCTCCCCCACTCACTCATGCTCTGTCTCTGTCTCAAAAATAAATTAAAAAAAAAAAATTAAAACCGTGAGATCATGACCTGAACCGAAGTTGGAGGCTTAACGGACTGAGCCCCCCAGGCGCCCCTAAAGGTTTTTTGTTTCGTTTTTCCAGGTTCTTGCACGTTTTCATTTTTGTGTGTTCAGGTAGAATATATTTCATCTCGGATGGATCTTTCCAGAGGCCGACCCAGTGTCCTCTTTGGGCTGCTTCACAGTGCTCCTCCCAAAAGAGGGCTCAGGTTCCCCACAGCAGGGTCACTGTGGGGGCCCCCCTTAGTGCAGCACACTGTCCTGCTGGCGATGTGAGCTGGACGGCAGTTTTCTTTTTCAGAAGAGGCTGCTTCTCACTTGCGTGTTTTTCTCTTGCTGTTTTTTCCTCAAAAAAAAAAAAAAAAAATCCTAATTGTAGCAAGTTAGAGTATGTCACAGTGTCCGGTGACCAGGGAAGTGGTGTGTCGTCCCTGGAGCACAGACAGCTTTGTGACCTGCTGTGTAAGTCTCTGTACACCTGGTCCCACCCGCCGTGGCCTCTGCTGGCTGTCCACACCTGTCCTCACTGAGGACTCGTTAGGCGTGCATGACTTGTGCACACTCATGTGCAGTTGTCTTGTAGTAAAGATTTGGGGCCCCCGGGCTCCCAGCGCCGTGGGCACGTCACCTGCGTGCAGAGGCAGATGCCCTTGGCACCGTGCTCGCAGCCGGGCTGGGTGAGGACGGCGGGGAGCCCGCGGCCCAGCCCTGTTGGTGTCTGTACACGGGGTGTACTTCTGTCCCTTGCACACGGAGCTGATACCCACGGGGCAGGTGACCAGTGATGTGGGTCGCGGGGAGTGTTGAGTAAATCTTCCCTAAGTGCCGTTTGCGCATTCACGTGACCAAAATGGATTTCTCCTTCCTGTTTGGTCTTTGTCCCTGGCTTCTGGCTCACAAAGTTCCCCAAATCCTTGTAGTTTCCCAGGACCACTAGAAAGGCTAGAAAGGGGTCTTGTTACGTTAAGCAGGGGACTTGTGGACTCCCCCCCCACACCCCAAGCTGGGGCTGGTGGCCAGGAGAGCCAGCCCAGAAGGTAGAGGGTGGGAGGAATCTCTGTCCCCATCCCACCCCTATCCTTGGCCTCCAGCAGGGGCGGGGGCTGGAGGGCCCATGACTTAGTGGATCCTGTGACTGGCCTGGAAGCCTCCACACAGTCCCGTCCGGACTGGGTTCGGGGAGCTTCCTGGTTGGCACACCGGAGATGCCAGTCTCGCGCACCTGGAGGGGGCGTGGACGCCCCCTGTGCGTCTCTTCCCTGCCTGGCAACCCGGAGTCTGTCGTGTCTTTTCATAAACTGGGCTTTCCCTCAGGCGAGCTCTGTGCGCCTCTGGCAACTTAGAAGAATGGAAGGCGGGGAGTGGGGCCCTGAAGCATGTAGTTCGTTGGTCTGGAGCTTGGGTAACGCGGGGACGTGTGTGGGCACCAGAGGTGGGGCTGGGTGTGGGGTAGGGGTGTCTCCTGGGACCGAGCCCCAACCCTGTGCGGTCTGACACCATCTCCGGGAATTCTCACACACCCCTTGGGGTCTCAGAACTGCCTGGTGTTGTGGCCCTGCCTGAGTGGGAACTGGGTCTGGAGACGCTTCTAGAAGACAGGCTTCACGGTCTGTTAGGATAATGGCGCAGACGTAGTTCAGTACGTTGAGGAAGTGCCTGTTTTGGAGAGTGGCTCTGCCTCGTGCTGAGAGCGACCATGTCCTGGTTGTGACCAGCTTGTCCTGGTGATGCGCGGCTCGGGCCCTCTGAGTTGGGAAGAGCTGGGCTGTGTTGCTGTCTGGAGGAAAACGCCCTCTGCAGCCAGCGTCACCGCTGCATGTGATGCGTTTCTCGTCACTTGTCCTTGACCAGGCGGGCTGGACGACACCCTGCACACCATCATCGGCTACGCCTGTGAGCAGAACATCCCGTTCGTGTTCGCGCTCAGCCGCAAAGCCCTGGGGCGCAGCCTGAACAAGGCTGTGCCTGTCAGCGTGGTGGGCATCTTCAGCTACGACGGCGCCCAGGTGAGTCGGGTGCCCCTGCAGGGCAACCCTGAGCCCAGGGTTCAGGTCACGCACGGCCCTCCTGCTGGGCTTTGAGCATGCAGCTGCCCTGGGGAGGCCTCACATGGGCAGCACCCCTGCCGGTGGGCCACCACCTCCCCCCGCTTCCCTGGGGAGGGGCCGTCACCTGTATCCCTGCTTGTGCCCCAGGACCAGTTCCACAGGATGGTGGAGCTGACGATGGCCGCCCGGCAGGCGTACAAGATGATGCTGGAGAATGCGCGCCAGGAGCTGGCGGGGGAGCCCTCACCCCTCACCCCGGGCAGCCCGCCCCCACCCCCACCCCTGCAGGGCGCCCCTGTGCTCCCCACCGGGACAGACGAGCCACACTACAGTGAGTGCTGCGGGGGGCGGGGGGGCGCCCGGCATGATGGTGCAGTGCGGCCACCCCGAGGCAGGGCCTGCTACTGAAGGCCAGCCTGGGTCCCGCCTGGTGTCCCGATCCCTGGTCTCACACAGACCTCGGGTCAGACGGCACCTGAGCAGAGAGTGGCCGCGGGCACAGCGCTGCCCCAAGGCCAGAGTGTGCGCTGAGGGCTGGTGGGGGGAGTCCGCGCCAGGCCTGCGCAGGGACCGAGCCCCGGGCGGCACGCTTCTCAGTGGGGACGGTCCTGTGCGTCCGTGTGCCCCTCAGCTGTGCCGCGCTCTCCTTTCCAGTGGAAATCTGGAGAAAACACCTGGAAGCCTACAGTCGGTGTGCCCTGGAGCTGGAGGACTCACTAGAGGCTTCGACCTCGCAGATGATGAACCTGAACCTGTAGGAAGACTTCATGGGGTGCGCGGGGGATTTGGGGTGCGGAGGGGGTTGTGGAAGACTTTGGGGCCTTCTCAGTTCCTCGTTGACCTGATGTATTCTGTGTGGCTGTTTAATTGGGAGGCGAAGCTGAGCTGTGCATCCGGGGACCGGGCACTCAGGTGTGCCGGCGGGGGCCTTTCCAGAAGTTCTGGAGTTGCGGCTTCGGGTCTATGAGCACATGGAGTCCGGAAAGACCGTGTGCTGCTCGGAGTCCTGTGCTGTGAAGGAGCCCCTCTGATGCAGCGGAGCTGAGCTGAGCCATGTTCGTCCGTGCGAGGTCGTGGCCGCTGACCGGCACGGCCGCAGGGGAGCATCCAGGCGGGCGGCGCCGGTCAGAGGCAGGGGCTTTCTGGGGACCTGGCTTTTTGGCTGGAAGATTTGGGGATACTTGGAGGATTTGCTACAAATGAGCCTCGGAGGGAAAATTGGTTCTTTAACCTGTGATCTTTTGACATGAATTACTCCTTTTTGTCTTTATTTTTCCAAGAAGCAATGTATATGGAGGTTCCTAAATTTCAGTTTTGATGATCTACAGCTCCTTTCTGTCTCTGGTTAATGAACCTGTTGTGAATGTGGGTTCTGGCTGGGAGGCCAGCAGGGTATCGCCCTTGTGCTCTCTTGCAGGAGGGCGTATTTATTTGGAATAAAGAGCGATGATTTAAGACCCCTGTGCCTCTGGCCATCCAAGCTTGTGCGGCTCCTGCGGCCGGGCCCAAGCCCCGCGGTGCTGCTGTTCGAATCGCAGGGCCGGGTTTGCCTCTCTGCTGCCACACAGCAGGCGGCACAGGCATGGCAGGGCTTCGCCGTCTGGCGCTCAGCTTAGCCCCGGGCCGGCCGCCTGGGCTTTGCAGGTGCCTTTAGGGGAGGTCCGTCACATCAGACGCTGCGCCTAAGAGGCGATGGCATGTGGTGTGGACGGGGTGGTGTGTGTGCCAGCCACCAGTCTGTCCTGTCGTTTGGACGCTTGCCATTCCTAGCGTGCCTGCTCTCTGTTCTCGTCCTGAGCTGTTTCACCGGGAGCTCGGTTGGTTCAGCGACCAACTCTTGATTTCGGTTCAGGTCGTGATCTCCTGGTTCGCGGGATCGAGCCCTGTGCTGACAGTGCAGAGCCTGCTTGGGATTCTCTCTCTCTCAAAATAAACTTTAAGTAGATAATTGATTTAAGTGGGGGGGGGGCGGGGGGGGAACATGCGATGAGGCTGCCCAGGCCCTCAGTCCTGTCCCTTGGGGGCTGGGAGGAGCTGTGTGGGCAGGGCTCTCCTGCTGCCCCGTGTCAGCATGTCCCAAGTTTGTGGTCGCGGGTTTGAGAATCAGATTATGGGGAGAGAAGGTTCCAGAATTAATTTATAAGGGGAAAGTTAAATTGAAATATTTCAATAGGGGATGCAGGGCCCTGGGCCCATGGAGCTCAGGGAGGGAAAGGAGGCTGAGGCAGACCAGTGAGGTTTTATATTGTTTGTTTATTTATTTCTAGGAGAGAGAGAGACAGCGTGAGCAGGGGAGGGTCAGAGAGAGAGGGAGTCACAGACTGAAACAGGCTCCAGGCTCCGAGCTGGCTGTCAGCACAGAGCCCGACGCGGGGCTCGAACCCACGAACCGCGAGATCATGACCTAAGCGAAAGTCGGACGCTTAACTGACTAAGCCACCCAGGCGCCCCTGAGCAGTGAGGTTTTAACGCTACATCCGGCTCCCTAGAGGTTTGCTTCTTCCCATGTGATCTAATGCTGGGAGTGGCCTCATGATGCCACTTTCCCAGCAGAGGCTACTGCCACAGGCGACACGGCGGCCTGTGCGGTGCAGACGGTGTCGCAGGAAGCAGATGGCCCTTCGGCCTCCTACGCACACACCTCACCCCGGTTTTAGTTTTATTTTTCTCAACAACGCAGAGGACCAAACGCTGCCTCCTAACCACGTTTCCCGACCGAGCCCTCCCCGGGGGACGGGGGTAGGTAGCACCGCGCTTTCTGTTGGGCATGAGAGTGCTCCACCTGCAGCGGACATGGGGTCAGAGGCACCCGCTGGGGAAGCGCGCCGCAGCCTTCCGCAGAGAACGCGTCACCTTGTGTCACGGCGTGAGCGGGGCAGATCCTGCACGTAGGTGGTGGGACACGCGTGCGGCTTTGTAACGAGGGGTCTGGCCGCGAGCGGAGGTGGTGTCCGTGTGCTGGGTCACAGGGAGTTCCAGTCTGCTTTGAAGAGAGGCTTTGGTGTTCGGGTACGCGCATCCTGTTAAGAGCCGTCATTCCGAAAGCAGGAGGTGTCCGTGAGGTCAGGCTGCGCGGCTTAGGCTCCACGCAGACACGTTTGCCACGTGGTGCCACCCGGAGGAGCCCGGAGGCCACTGCGTGTCCTGCAAGCTCGGTCCCGTGGGAAGGTGGCGAGCCAGCTGGGATGGCGGGGGTTGGGGGGGGGTGCTTGTGCTGAACCAGGAGGTCGCTTGGCTAGAACGGAGCTGTTTCTGCCAGACCCTCCTGTCCCACGCAAGCACCTAAATTTTTACACAAGTTCTGGCCACTGTCATGGAAGTTGCGGTGTGGCTGCGTCTCAGCAGGTGAGGTGGCCTCTCCGGCGGTTGCAGGTTCAGCCGGGAGTTGCCACCGCGTCCTGGGCCTAAAGGGCACCTTTGTCACAGCTCTCCTGAAAGAATGACACAACCCCTGTGAGCTCCTGGCAAGATATGTGCCCTTCCCGCTCCCCTGCTGTCGTAGGCCCTGGAGGAGGCGTCCAGCGTCACCGCCTGCGTGCACCTCCTTCGGGTCTGAGGGGCCCCCGCGGCTGAGTTCGCAGGCAGAGGCGTGCAGCCTGTAGCAGCCAGGAGAGGTCTCGTGTGGCCATGGACCCCGGCAGGGCATCTCCTCTGGTAAATCTCTGGCTCTGTGGCTCCCTTGTCGGCTGCACCAGGGACTTGGGAACTGGGGACACCTGTCCTGTCACCTCACTGCTGGGACAGCAGTCCCCCCTTGGGGAGTGGGGTGCAGCCAGCAGGCCCTCCCTGCATGCCCTCTGCTGTGCTGACCCTCCCTGGGGATCGGCCTGCGGCGCCTAAAAAGCAGAACAGCTCTGTGGGCCAAGAGCACACGCGTGGGGGCCCCGCAGGACACCCCGAGGCGGCAGGCGCCCTGCCAGCCCCCACCCACCCCGGGCCCGGCCGCGTACCCACGCCTTCTTCCAGCTGTGCATCATGCGGTCGTGCTCGCCGGCCACAGCCCGCCAGGCGGCCAGCTCCCTGGTCCACTGCTCCTGGTGGCTCCTGTCTGCAAGGCAGGTGGGCACCGGGCGTCAGCCCTGCAGGCCCCTGAGGCACGCGGCCATCTCGGGAGACGCACTCACCCCTCCAGCCCTGCGCCCGGCCCCGTCCTGATCCCGCGTGAGTCCTGCCCGGGCAGGGGAGGGGCTGTGTCCCCACACTGTGGGGTGACGCAGGACCCCCGAGGGGCCACTGCCCTCTCTGCACTGCCGGCCGCAGGGCCTTCATCTAGGGCTCAAGGGGCTGTGAGGATGGACGGCACGGGCTGGACAGCCGGGCTTCTTTGTAAACAGAACCGGGCCGGGTCCTTGCTCTGCCCGTGGCCCATGTTGCTCATCTTAGAAATGAGTGCCAGGAACCTGAGCCCGTGAGGCCCTGAGCAGACCCAGGCCAGGGCCTGGGCTCCAGAGGTGCCTTCAGGGGTCCTTAACCCCAAGGGACCCTGCAGGGCCGTTTAGAAGTGGAAGCGTGCCCCCCCACCCCCAACCGAGGGCCTTTTCCCTGCTCGACACCAAGCCAAGTCCAGCATCTTGGAAAACAGTTCCAGAAAGAGCACAAGAAATAAAGCAGAGCAGAGCAAATTGTGTTAAAAGCTCCCCGTGTATGAGCAGGCCTCCAGGCGGAGGCCCCAGCCAGGCACGGAAACCCCCAGATGTGACCCCGTGCCGTGCTCAGTGGGCCTGGGTGGCCAGGAGCAGAGCACGCGGAGGTGATGGGGACTCCAGGACAGAGGGAGACACAGGCCCTCAGAACCGGCTTCCCAGACACGCCAAGGAGCGAATAAGCGGCGTGTCTGTGTGGTGGGCCTGGCGGGTGACGGAGTGCCTCCGGCGCCGGGGAGGCTGGCCAGGCAGCGGCCACGCGCGCCTCTCCCCTGCCCGCCACCAGGGCACCGGCACACCCGCCATCGGAGCCAGGAGCACCACTCACCGTGCCTCTCGACGGTCACCCGCACTTTAGAGGACCTGTTGCCTGTGGAGGACATGACGTAGCAACGGTACTCAGCGCTTTCTCTAATGGCGTCTCGCAGCCAGCTGAGCACGTGGACCCTGCCGTTGGGCAGCACGTGGGTCTGCGTGGGGATGCACGTCTCCAGTTCTCGGCCGTTCTTCTTCCAGACAAAGTGGACGTCTGCAGGCCCTGGGGACACAGAGACCGTCTCCGCCCAGTGGCCCCTGGACTCCCACTGAGGACCCATGGGAACTGGGGTGGGGACAGGCGGTGTGGAGCCACCCATGCCCGGGGCCTCCATCGTCCCAGCTGGACCCATGGTGAGGGACAGGGCAGCTTTCATTCCAGTCCTGCGTCCCCCGAGGAGGTGTGCGTCCCCGGGACCCTGGGAGCAGAGGTGTGCCTGCGTGGCCCCCTGGGCTCCCTGCCCCTCCCCTCCCGTGTTCTCTCCGCTCGGCTGCTCAGCGCCCACAGCACAAGCTGAGGCCGTCGAGGGGGTGGGTCGCCTGCCGCACGGAGTGCCTGGTGACTGTGCCCTGGGGGGCAGGTGTCCATTCTGCATCGAGGGTCTGGGCCTGGGAACTTTGCCTCCCACTTGTGACCAAAGCCCCTGCCTCCCCGGGACCTGAGTTGGGGGTGGGGTTGCCTCCAGGGGGCCAGGGCCGGAAGACCACTCCGTCCCCGGCGCCCCCTCTTCTCTGCCTGTGCCAGGCGTGCACGGCCCCTCCTGCCACAGGCCCCCCAGAGCCCGTCTCTAAAATCAGGGGTCTGGGCTGCTGGTGGCTCAGTCAAGCATCAGCTCGATTTCAGCTCAGGATGTGGGCTCATGGTCGTGGGGCTCTGTGCTGATGGTGTGGAGCCTGCTCAGGGCTCTCTCTGCCCCTCCCCTGCTCTGCAGTAAACTTAAAACAGTTTTAGTTCTAGAGCCGTGTTCTTCTATGCAGTTGCCCCCACCCCGGGAATGACGTAAACTGCGGTGCCGTGGAGGACAGTCCGCAGAGGCAGGACTGGGTCTGCGTGGCTGGGGTTCACCGGGCAGGGAAGAGTCCGTGCGGCCCAGGGCTAAAACCCAGCACACAAAGCAGGAGCACGGGGTGTGGGACAGGCCGTCACAGCTGGTCAGTACGGAGGTCCCTGACCTCTGTGCGAATCCCCGTGTGACCCACAGGGAACCTCCTTCCCTGGGGCTTGCACCATTACAAGCCCTCCGACGGCAAAAGCAAAGCAGGCGTTTGGGCGAAACGCGCTGTAGGTTCTAAAATCTCGGAAGCCATTTGAAAGCGTTTCACACAGCAGCACACTGGCCACCGTGGCCCGGCCCCGAGGACTGTTCTCTGGGCACGTCCTGGGATTTTCTTCTCAGCACCACTTGTCCCCCAGGTGTTCTGCCCTGTAGCCCCGTGCGCACCCGCCCTGCAGTTGGAGCACAGCCCGGGTCACTGCTGGGTGCACCGCACACCACCACGCCCCCCGACAGCCCTTCGGTGGGGTCAGGTTTAAGAAGGGATTCTCTCGAGGCACTGTGACAGAGGTTTTCTGTGAACAGACACTGAAGTCGGTTCCAGGGAGCCCTGGGCTCCCTCCCCCTCCCCACTGTCCCCTGGTGACCTGCGCTGAGACCCACCAGCATGAGTCACAGGAGCTTCTGCAAGGGTCTCCTGGATCCCTAGGACAAAGGACCAGGGTGGCTTGAGCCAAGGCCATGTTGTGCCCCCAGGCCGCACGGCGGGACCCTTGAGCAAAATCCCCGGCAGACTCATGGGCCTGGAGCTCAGGCCCTACGGGAAGTACTGCGTGCCCCCATCCTGAAGCCTCTAAATTCAGCATTGGTAAATACTCATTCGGCGTGTCGAGCACAGTGAAGCGTTGAGAACGGTAGAGGTACTTACGTTGCACTTACTCTGTCCTAAAGCTACGCAGCTCCTGAATGCAGGCGAGAGCAAGGAGGGAAAGCGACAGTTAAAACCAGGCGCAGGGCCAGCACATGCCACTCGGGCGATCCTCCGCCCTGGGGTCTGCAGCCCCAAAGGGTAAGCGACACGGACACGGCGGGGCCACTGGCTCCAGCCCGCCCCATGCGGGCACTGGGGGCGCCAGTGCAGAGCAGACCCTACTCTGTGACAAAACCAGAGCCCCGCTCCCGAATTCTGGGACAGCCCATCCTTGGGCCACATCCCTGGTCGGGGCCCCGGGGCCAGCTTTCCTCCAGCTGTCCCCGCACACGTGCTCACCCTGAGCCCGGGGCCGGCCAGCCCGTCCCCTGAGCTCAGGCCGGGGCCGCCTACCGCTGCACCGGAGGGGACGCTCTGCGGGCGCTGTCCTATAGGCTGGGTCCACGTGTGCACAGAAATCAGGACCCAAATGTGTGTGTGTCGGTGGGGGGCTTCCCGGGCCCCAATCCTATCAGCCCCACCTTTCTCCTCAGAGTGCCCCACGCTTCACTGTCCCAAGGCTGCCTGCGCCCTGGGGTCGGCTGAAGAGAGACCCCCAGAATATCCAGGTCTTAGCTGCTGGAACCACACGAGGCAAAAGGCACTTTACACGCAAACCTGTGGGTGGTGGGGGTCAGTGGCCCAGTCACCTGGTCGCATGCATGCCAGCTGCAGGTGGCTGTCTGGCACTCCAGGACGGCTCAGTGCAGGTACACCCGCCATCACAACAGAAGACACGCCGCTTCCAGCAAAACCACACCCTCTGACTCACCAAGGACGGAGATGTTGCAAGGTGACAGATCTGCCCTGCCCGCCCACGGACGGGGTCCCACCACAGACGGGACCCCAACCCTTCTGGAAGATGATCAGCTCGTGGCGACTGCAGGTCAGGGATCGGGGCCGGGCACCCTGTGTTACCCCAGGGCCTGAAGGGCACTCGTTTTTTTACCACTGTAGTTAAAAAACCATCAACCCTGAACAGCCACGTGTCACTTAAAGTACGGAGGATCCGTCCTTAGCTTTAAAAGAGACACAGGTCTGACTTCGACCAGAAGCCCAGATCCATCAGGGACACTGCGGGGCAGACCCAGACTCCACTTGCGTAAGAATCACGGAGCTCCGTTCCGCGTGCCTATGGACCCAGCCGCGACTTAGGTCCCTTTCCACGTGCCCAGGTTCCACTAAGCCTGCTCACGTGCGGTACGGGTGACTGCCATGCTTATCTGAACTAATTCTGCCATGGGGAACATGCATGCACGATTTCCGGGAAGTGAAACGTGACCACCGGCCTACTTCAGCCTCAGCGGCTCAGGACCCTTTCCTCCCCTCGCCTCCCGACGACCCCAGAGCTGCTCCTCCCCACGCCCGGGTGCAGGCCCGGGAATGAGGCGTGGTCACAGGACGGCACGCCGCCCGCCCACACGGGTGTGCACGCACGCACACGCTGCTGGGAGTCAGGAGAGGATGGGGAAGATGGTGAGCAGAGGCCCTGAGTCACCGTTCTGAGGCCGGGCCCATCCCAGCCTACCTGGCCTTGCTTGGGCTGCAGCCCCAGCCACTGTGACACCAGCAAACTTGGCGGGAGGGCGACCGCTTGGGGAGCACACGGACGGCACCCTTGAGGGAGTGCCTGCAGCCAGAGCGGCGGAAGCCAGCACTTGGCAGAGTGGCCTGAAACTTGGTCCTGAGTTCCAGCATGTTCCTGGACTCGGGAAGAGAAGGCCAAAGACGCTGTCATTTTGGACACCACATGCTTGGACAGCCCCTTGCACAACCAGCCAGCGCTGGCCTGTGGACTCGGTTTAGGGGAAGAGGTGCCTGGATGTGGACGTGGCCTTGAGGGATGGACCCAACGCCAGTGAGCTCAGCAGGCGGGGCCTGGGGGGGGACGTGTGGGCCCCACCTTGGATGGAGGACACAGGGCTCCTCGGCCTGGCGAGTCACTTGATTTCCGGTCTGGACACCAGATGCTCAGTACCGGGTGGGGTCGCCCTGGCCGTTGGGGCCCCCGAGAGCATCCTCCTGGCTCTGCTACAAGCAGAAGCGAGTGCTCTGGAGGCTGGGGGTGGGGGTGGCTGTGGGGTCTCCAGCACCCACCTCTGTCATCGCTGCCTAGTGGGGCTGCCCTCCCTCAGGTGGCACTGAACCTGCCGTGGGCACAGAGCGCAGGCCGCCCTGGGGAACGTCCACCCTCACAAGGGTGCTCGGCCCTCCCTCTGGGTGGGACAGAACGTGCTGGGACCCTGGGGACAGCTGGTCCTTCCCAGGCCGCCTCAGCCTCAGGGTGGGAGGTCCCAGGTGGGGTGCTGCTCCCTGAGAGAAAGGAGAACGGGGGACGGGGCTGGGGCCGCAGTCCCTCTCCGTCCACCCTGAGCACTGCCCCCCACCCCGCGCTGCCCACCTCTCCCATCCCCGGGCTGTGAGCCACCAGCTACTGCCCGTCGTTGGCCCCCAGGTCCCAAGTGCAGGCCTGGCAAGAGCTGGAAGCGCAGAGGAAGAAACACCCTCCGGCTCATAGACCAGCAGCAGCGGCAGCAGGGCAGGGAGGCCGGAGTGGCCCGAAGTGACCCGCCACTCCCACCCTGTGGCCATCGGTGCCTCCTGCGCTGGCTGCGTGGGAACCGTGCCCCTCGCTCCGCAGCCGCCGCCAGCTCCGTAACTGCGGCCCTGCACGGGGACCCACTCTGGCCCAGAAACCAGCCTCGGCCCCAAGTCACGCGTACGGCGCCCAGCAGCTAACAGGCACCTCCCGGAGAGGCCATGCTTCAACGCGTTTGGCTCTGGGTCCCTCAGCAGGTCGCGTGACCCCCTGCTCTCCTCCCGATGCGGAGTCCCCCCACCCGTGCGTGCCTGTGGAGGACAGCGGCCCCTGCGTGGACGGCCCGGGAGGCCCCACGGGAAATCGCCTGGCCCGACAGCCACAGGGAGACCCACACAGGCCGGGCCCCGCCCCGGAGGTCTGTGTCCACAGGTCCCACTCACAGGCAGCCTCCCCCGTGGCCGCACAGCCGACCTGGCACACAGGCTCACGCCACTTAAACTCTCACAGAAACCAAGTGCTCTTCCTCCCTGTGAGCTCTGTTCATCCCCTCCGGGCACCCACACGCCGCACATCCTCCCCCTGCAGCTGCCGACCTCGGCGCGGCTCCGCCGGGTCCCCCCCAGCCTGCTGTGCGCGGCAGCACCGCTTACGCAGGTCGTGGGAACGCTCCTCTGGGGGCTCAGAGCGGCATCTTCCAACCTCCAGATTCCGTACAGGGGGACCCCAAGTCAGCAGACGCGCAGGGGCCCCTGTACACAAGCAACCGGCCGATAGGTCTTGGGGCCAAGCCCGGCCCGCCCATGGGGGCCCTGGGGCCGCGGAGGCAGGCCGGTCAACACTTGGCTCTGTGGGAGAAGCCGCAGGAAGAGCTCGGGGCTCACGGGGTAGTGCTGCCTGGGGGGGGGGGGCGCCCCCACGCCCCTGTGCTCCCCTGCCCCCTGCCACACCCCCCCCTGTGCTCGCCCCGCCCTCGCCCCCTCCCTGCCCCCGCGCCGCTCACCTGTGGCCTGGCAGAAGAGGTGGAAGGTGCCCAGGGCTTGCACGTGCTGGGCCTGGTCGCTCAGGAAGGGCGGCAGCAAGGCGACCCGCGGGCTGTGAGGCCCCGCGGCAGAGGCGGGCCAGGGGCTTCGGGGAGAGGAGCCGGGGCGACAGGACAGGGAGGAGGGCCCCGGAGGGGGGAAGGGCAGAGACGAGGCTGCGGGACAGAGGACAGAGAAGAGAGGGGCGGCTGAGGCGGGCGGGCGGGCCCCCGCACGCCGGGGAAGGGAAGCAGAGACAGGACGAGAAGGGGGACCGAGGCCGTCCCCGGACCCGCCCGCCGGTCAGCGCGCCGCCCCCAGCCGCAGCGAACCACGCGCCCGCGTCGAGGATGTGAGCTTCGTGTTTATTCGGTTATTTTTCGACTGTATACAATTCAAAGTAGAAAAATAAAAACAAAGTAAATCTTATAAAACACAACTGTGTACACCGGAATGGTCGAGTCCTTTCATGCTGAAGACGGCCCTGTCCACGCAGGCACGCACAGATCCGGAGTTCACCGCCCCTCGCCACGGAGAGAGCCACAGGTGGAGCCTGAGCCGTCTTGCCCACTCGCGCCTTGAAGGACCGCGTTGAGCCACGCGGGGGCCGCAGGGCGTGGGGTCACCAGCCGCCAGGCCACGTGGGGATGCAGGCCGGTCCGTCACCGCGGTCCTGCTCTCTGGCAGGTGTGGACGGCTCGGTTCAGCCGAGCGGGACTTCCAGGTGGGCAAGAGACGTGAGACAGAAGCTAAATGTAACGGGACGTTCCGATGGCTGAGGGTGCCTGGTTGAATGTCCGTCCGTCCGTCCGTCCGTCCGCATGGGAGCTTCCAAGCAGCGGCTGGGGGTGTCCGACTGCGAAACGCCTCTTCTCTCCGCTCTGGGTCTGCCGGCTCCACCTGGTTCATGGGACAGCCATCCACTGTCTCCTCTTCTTCGAAAGAGTTAAAGCAAGAGGGGGAATAAAGTACAGAAAGAAAATCTCTCTGAAAAGGATGCTTCCCTCAAGGAATTAAAAAAAAAAAAAAAAAAAAAATGTGCTCAGATGGTTTCACCTTTGTGTCTAAAAAGTAGAGAACACATTTCCCAAAATAAGTTTATCCCTGAGAATCTTAAGCAACGTAAGATGTATCTCTTACCCCTAATATACAACAAAATCTGGAAGATGTACATCTTCAGAGTGTTAGAACATCTGCTTCGGTAATTTAAAACAAACGACCTAAGACACGAAAAGCAAAACTATAAAAAATAATTCTGCGGAAGCAAGGGTCCATGCCAATCTGGACAACAGGCAATAAGTTACCAATCTGATAAACAAAAACGTCATTTCCAATCTGGAATTCAAAGATCCTTCAGTGGCTGCTCTGAGGAGGGGACGCTCCAGGCGTGAGTGTCCATGGGCGGGTGACAGCTCAGCCCCGCGCGCCACCCACAGGGACGTCTCACACCGCGGCCCAGCGGGGGAGGCCAGGGTGCGATGCTCGCCATTTTCCGAAAAGACAAAGACAGACCAGATCACAAGCTCGACGCAAGAGAAAAGACACACAGAAGAGGGGCGTGCTGACGCGGGCTGCCGGCGGAGACTCAGTCCCCATCCGCGTCCGAGTCGGCATACTTCAGCTCACACTTGACGTCGAAGGGCCGGTCCCTGGCCGGGGGGTCGTCCAGCCTCTGCGAGTCCTCCCTGTCGGTGGGCACCCTGCTGGCCATCGTGTCCTGCTCCGTCTCGTAGCCGGTGTCCAGGGCCGGCCGGGGCTGCCCCCCGTTCTGCTGGGAGAAGCTGCCCGGCTCCACCAGCGTCTCCTTGGCGCTCTGCTCGAACTCGGAGAAGTCGGCCGCCGGCTGCTTCTTGCCCAGCAGCACGGCCGAGCGGAACTTGAGGCACGGCCCGGGCAGGTAGCCCTTGTAGCAGTTGTAGGCGGCCAGGCAGAGGCAGAGCAGGAAGAAGAAGAGGAAGAGGAAGATGAGCAGGCGGTTGTCGCTGGCCTGCAGGTACATCGTCTTCTCCGAGTGCACCTGGGGGACCGTGTTGATGACGATCTTGGGGTCGCAGGACGTGCCGGTGGGCGCGGGGCTGGGCGGGGGGGCCGCCGCACCGGGCGCGGGGACCCGAGAGGCCGGGGGCTGCGGCGGGGGGCCGCGGGTGGGCTCCATCGACGCTCCGAGGGTGGTCCTCTCGCCTTCTGTCCGGGTGCCCGGCGGGGCGGGGTCCTCAGTGGTCCTCAGGAGCGTTTTCACCTGCAGCACGTGCTTGGCCAGCACGCGCAGGACCGTCCTGTTGCGCACCCGCTCCTCCGACAGGCACTGGTACACCCCGCTGTCCCCCTCTGACAGGTTGAAGATGAGCAGGTCCTTCCTGCCCACCAGGCTGTACTTGGGGCCGTCGGCCTCGAGCACGCCATTCCGGAACTTCCACACCACCCGGGCCAGGTTGGACTTTTGGGAGCATTTGAGTTCCGCCATGCCGCCGTGCTTGAAAAAATGCTGCCGGAAACTTTCTTTATTCTTATCTGGAACATCAAAATAGACGTGGACAGCGTCAACAACGCGGCTCACTACTCAACGTCTTCTAAAAATAGGGCAACGCGCACAAGAGGACACAAGAGTTCCACCCACTGGAGCAACACGGAATCTTCCAGAACTAAGGAGATAAAGACATGCGTGACAGAAAAGCAGAGATGAGCCCCAGGTGGCAGCCCAGCGGGACGAGGAAGTCGGAGACAACCGAGTGGCAGAGACCCCCATCTGGCGCCCTGGTTCCCCGGGGGCCAAGCGGCAACAACGGAGTCACAGGCCACCGCTCCTGCTGGCGGCTCCGGCTGGCGGCCTCTGACTGCAAGCGGCCCATCCCAAAGCTGCCCCCGCTGGTGGGTCAGAGAAGGGAGCGCAAGAGCCCAGCTCATGGCTGCCTGTGAGGGGCCGGAGGGCCGAGGACACCTCTCCCGCTGCCGCCCTGCCCCCCGCGGGGCGCCCAGGTTCTGTGTAAGCAGCCCTGAGCTCAGCGAAGACGGCAGCATCTCAAGAGCAGGTGCCCCGGGTTGGACGCCGAGTGCCTTCCGGTGAATAAACACAGTATGTGACCTCAGATGCCCTGGTCTGTGATAAAAGAGATTAAGGTGGTGGGTTGGCCTCTGTATCCTCACGGATACCTGACCTCTGTTCAGAGCAGAGAAAGAAAATGCGGATGGACACGACGACGACACGACACCACAGCACCATGACATGGTTACGAGGACCGGCCGTGCCCGAAGGGAGCCCGGCAAGGACGGACGACTTACCGGGGCAGGCGGACGCGTCTCCACTCAACTCCTGGATCAAAGTCCTGCAAGACAGCCAGGCGCAGGTCAGGCACATGCCCCCCACCAACGCGGGCGTGCAGCGCGGGGCCCCCGCCCTGGTACCTGGTGAGGACGTCCATCTGGTGCAGGTGCAGGGTCACGCAGGCGGCGACCGCCCGGCTCCAGGCGCAGTAGGGGTCACGGGCGAGCACGCAGTCCTCACAGGTGCCGTGCTTCCCGCAGAAGGCCACGGGGGCCTGCACCACGCCCGAGCTGGAGCCCGCGTACACGAACCTTCCGCCCTGCGGGTGTGGAGCAGAGGGGACGGTGCGTGAGGGCGGCCGTCGTGAGCCTCTCTGGCCCGAGTTCCCGCGTCTCCTCATGCAGGAGCTTCCAGAACTCGAGCCTGGCCAGCTCGGGTCCAAGACAAACCTGAACGGCAGCATCGTGGCCGTTACGGACATTGCGTGGGATCCGGGCAGAGTCCACACCCTGACTGGGCACCCTGGGCCTCAGTCGGAGCCCCTGCCTGCGAAGGCATCTCCACACCCTCTCTCGGGCTGGGGGTCAGCTGCTCCGTGTGGAGGGGGCCCCACCACAGGCCAGAGGCCGAAGGGCACAGCTCGGAGGCCCATCTTGTGCCTGTCCGGCGGGAGCAGCCACGTGGACGCCCGAGTCAGTGTCCAAGTCCAGGAAAGGAGGCGCCACCAAGCATGGGCGGGGAGTGAGTTCCAGCACGTGGGATAGAGGCAGTGCCAGGTGCTGGCCTGTCTGGCTTTGGGGGGAGGAGCACACTGACGGAGACCCACGGCCGTGCTCCGGAGCACAGGGCCCAGTGGGCTGCGAGACCCTGGCCCCCTGGGGTCAGCTGGGAGAGGGGATCCCCTACGGGATGCTGCCTGACGTGTAGCCGTGGCTGCAGGGGGCCAATTCCAGAACCTGCATGTAGGCTCTCCTTTGCCCCTGATGTTTCACCTTGACGTCTACGCAGACTTAACGGACATTCCCAAGCTCAACAGAACTTGGTGGTTTAGACCCAGACGACGTGCAGCCTTTCCCTTGGAGAGCAGACTGGGAATTAACTTCCAAGCCCATCTGGCTGGTGCTCTGAGGCCCTGGGGCCACCCACCCTGTGACTTAGGTGGCCTGTGACTCACCATGTGGAAGTCACCTCTGCAACACTCTCATGTGACAACAAGCGGCAGAGAGCGCCGTCAGCAGGGACCTGAGGCCACATGAGGCCACATGCCTGGCAGGCTGTCAGGACCAAGGACACTGTCCCAGATCACAGTCCAGGGGTCACAGGGCTCACAGAGGTCGGAGGGACCCTGGAGAGGGCACCGACTCTGCGAGGGAGGCCCTGCCCGAAGCCGACACTTGACCCGTTCACCTGGCGTGGCGGTGGGGAGGGCGGGCTCAATCTCCCCGCCCTCCCCCCACCCCAGGGCTGGGCTCCCATGATACATGGCCGCCAAATAACAATGTGGACAGAAGGGGACAGGAAAACGTCCTGGAAAGAGGTGGCCGTGACCACGGGTGGGTGCACAAGTCAGCAGGCAGGACAGACCGATGGGGGCGGCCTTGCGGTCTCCCCACAAACGAGTGTTAGCTCCTCAGGGTGTGAACACACGTCCACAGCTCTCAGCCCACGCGGCCCGGCCCCGTGTGGTGGGTTCAGCGCTGTCCACGGGCACGCCCCCACACCCTCAACCCCATCTGAGCACAAGGGAACCAGGGGTCACCCCACAAAACTCCATTCCACTAAGCAGGGCACCGAGATGAGCACAGACGGGGGCTGCCCCAGACCACGGGGGTGAAAGGCCCTGGAACTGGGGGACAGCTCGGGGCCCCCGCACGTCGGCCCAGCGCCTCCGCGGACCTAACACTATGGTGAAGCGAGAAGCGTTTGAAAAGCCAGAGAAGAAACACGGGGACCAGGTAGCGCCCAGCACCCGTGAGGCTCGCTGAGTGTGCACGTGTGCCGGCCCCTCCCAGGTCCCCACAGCCCCGGGACCCCACAGCCCCGGGACCCCCAGGCGCACGCCGCATCCGCTCTGTCACACGCGGCCCATGGAGGATCTGGGGCTGTGGAAACGACCCATCCCTGTCCCCTGCACGCAGGCGCTGCCACAGCGTCAGACGCCCCCGCGGGCACGCAGGCACAGCCCTGTCCGTGGCAGCCTCAGGGGGGACAGCCACACACGCCCGCCTGTGGACAACAGGGGAACATCGTGGTATGTGGGCACCGCGGAGAGCATTCCACCCCCAACAGGAAGGAAATCCTGTCACGTGCTGCACGAATGACCCTTGATGAGAACATGACGCCTAGGGAGATAAGCCGCTCACGAAGGCTGGGAGTGTGATCCCTCTCACGTGGGGGCCCCGGGGTCATGACATCAGACACAACATGGACAGTGGGTGCCAGGGGCTGGGGGAGCAGTGGGGGTTAGTGCTTATCGGGGACAGGGCGATGAGAAAGTTCTGGAGATGGATGCTGGGATGAAAATACTCAACATGCGGAACTGGGTGCTAAAACATGCTTGAGGCGGTAGTTTCATCAGTGTGTATTTACGTTAAAAGAAGAGCCACCAAACGGCCCTGTCTGCCGGGGACAGTGGGGACAAAGGCCTTCAGGAGCCCGAGGCTGTGCCGGCCCCTCCTGCGCTCTGGCTGCTGGCCAGCCTCTACAGCGAAGGCCAGTGAGATGGCCTGGAGGAGCCTGTGGGCGGTGAGTGCGGGTGCGTGTCTTTTCCACCCTGAACAGCCGCTTCCTGCTGCTGAGGGAGCACACGCTACTCCAAGCCCCTGAGCCTGCCACCCCGAGGAGAGGTCGGGGGGCCGCGGCCTGCCCGACACCTTACCGCTAGGTCCAGCCAGCCAACCCAGACTCCCCTCACCCATCCTGTGGACTGACTCCCATGCGCCCAGAATTCCACGCCCTGACTGACCCTGGAGAGCGGAGCCGTGGTCTCACTGAGCATCCACACTGGGGGCCCAGCCTGCGTCCTGTGCACACATGACAGTCTGGTGGCCCCAAGGGCATGTGTCCCAGCCTGGTTGAGCGCCTGAGCAATGAGCCCTAGCGGGAGGGCTTCCTTGTTCCCACCGCAAAGCAGGGGCAGAGGTGGGGTTGTCTAAAGCGCCCAGGAGGCTCCGATGCCCTGTATCTGCCAGCTTAAAGCCCACCGAGGCTCTTTGGTCTCCCTCCCTTCCAGAAACAGGGAGACAGAGTCCTCGCTGCAGGAACTGCTTGGGTAAGTGACCCTGAAAACCAGATCCAGGTTCTGAAGCTCACGATGCAGGAGATGCACAGGTGGCTGGGGACTGTGCTGGGCCAGACGGGAGACTCTCAGCATCAGAGAAACGCCATGCCGGGCGGGGAGGGCCAGGCCTGGTACCCAGAGCAAGGCTTTACATTTACAGGCCGGGTGCAGGTGACAGCCTGCCTGCAGCTCACGGAGCAGGCTCGCAGCCAGGCTTCTGGTTTCTGGCCCCGACCCTGGCACTACCAAGTCCCCAGGCCCGTTGGCTCAGGGCTCACGGCCTGGGGACACCCACAAAGCCCTGCGGGGAGCCCTACGGGAAGTGAGGTCATTAGCCACAGTCAAGGGACAGGGCTGGGCCACTGTCCCTACGTGCAGAGGAGGAAATGAAGGCAGGACTGGCCTGCCCGGCTCACGCAGCCACGTACCATGGGGCCACGGCCTACTCCACCCTGGCTGTAAACCGGGAGGCATGTGTCCCCAAGGCCATGTGGGTCGACGGCAGGGGACAGCCTCCAGAGCAAATCCGGCAAATCTATGCTCCCCACCAGCTAATAACACATTTGGTATTCTTAAATGGTTGAGGAAAAAAAATATTCCATGATATTTGAAAATTACATGATCTCCTGAGCTCTGTTTCTATAAAAAAGACTTTGCTGGAACACAGCCAGGTCCACTCACTTGTGGCTGTCCCATGGCCACCTGGGCACTACATCGGCAGGGACCCTACGGCCCCTGGAGTCTCAAACCCTGATCCCGACCCCGATGGGGGAGAAGGTGCCACGTCAGGTGGAGTGGGCTTCACTGACGCCACCATCGTTGCTCAGAGTGGGCTTTTCTGCGCCGACAGACGCACCTGCTAACGGGGTGTCAACCCCCGCAGCTTGGGGCACAGGGGTGTCTTCGGGGTGCTCTGCCAACCTGAGGTGACTGTTCCATCCCAGGCCCACGGGCTCACAGGATCCTCTGTAGGAGCCCGCAGGTCAGCTTGTCTGGACCAGACAGATCAGCCCGCCTGCCCAGCTGGTGACCAGGAGCACATGAGGCCCCTGCTGCCTGCCCAGCGACCAGGGACATGTGAGGCCCCTGCTGCCTGCCCGGCGACCAGGGACATGTGAGGCCCACCTGCCCGGCGACCAGGGACATGTGAGGCCCCTGCTGCCTGCCCGGCGACCAGGGACATGTGAGGCCCCTGCTGCCTGCCCGGCGACCAGGGACATGTGAGGCCCCTGCTGCCTGCCCGGCGACCAGGGACATGTGAGGCCCCTGCTGCCTGCCCGGCGACCAGGGACATGTGAGGCCCCTGCTGCCTGCCCGGCGACCAGGGACATGTGAGGCCCCTGCTGCCTGCCTGGCCGGTGACCAGGGGCACGTGAGCCTGCCCGCCCACCCGCCCGCTCTACCTTCTCAGAATTCAGCAGCAGCGTCTGCACCGGCTCGAAGTCCTGGAAAAGCTGTGTCTCCTCGATGATGTGGACGTCGTTCTCAAGGTTGACAGCTTTGTGCAGGGCGCCCCGGTCTGCAAGGGCAAAGCTACAGGTCAGGGACGCGCCCGGACTGTCCCGGTGGCCGACGGCCCCCGTCCTTCCTCTCAGCTCCTCCCGTCAACGACGCACTGAGAAGCCAATGCCGCCTGCGCTTCGGAAGCAGGAGGAAGAGCCTCTCGCAGCAGGAACCAGCACCTCGAACAGCATCGATCAGTCTCATTTCCTGGATGAGAAACGGACCTCCCACTGCTGACTCCCGTGGAAGTCAGGGCCACGACACGGTGCCACCAGATCACAGGAGCGGTGGCTCTCAGGCTCCAGTGCCCTTCCGGGGCGCCGTGCGATGGGGCCCCGGGCAGGGGGGTGCTCAGGGCACGCTGGAGAGCACCCAGGGCCGACCCCGGCGCCTTCCTGCTGCGGACCCTGCCGGCCCCACCCCCACTTCCAGAAACACTTGTGTGAAAGTCCCAGGGCTCCCGTGGCAGGTCGGGAACCATGGAGCCAGCAGAGACGTGGGACTTCCCTGCCGCCTGCTCCCCGCCGGCCCCCACGGCCCCCACCCCCCGTGCACCAGGCCTGAATCCCCACACGGGGGCCTGGACTTGCACATTCAGCCAGCGCCCCAGCGGTCTGACGGGCAGACGGCGGAGGCCAGCCAGGGGTGGTGGCTTCTCAGAAACCCTTCCAGAGACCCCTCCAGGCGCCCGGGGGAGATGCTGGCTCCCACGGCGAAGATGAGCTGGATTTGCCGGTGTCCTCGCCAGGGGCCGGGACCCACCTGTGCTGATGAACATGACGTCGTAGAAGGTCCCGTCCAGGGCCTGGGTCCTGTCCACCACAATCTGTGTGTAGTTCACGTAGGTTTTGATCAGCCTGGGCCTGTTGTCGATCGGGGTCACAGAGCCGTCCATCAGAGGGTGGTCTTTGACAAACTGCAGGGTCTTGTCCGGCAGACTCAGGGAGCTGGAGAAGTTGGCGGCCCGCGCTTCACGGTTGATGCACTGCAGGGGGCAGACCTGCCCGTCAGTGCACACGCACACGGACAGACAGCCTGCACACGGACAGATGGCCCGCACACGCTCCTATGCAGGGCCCTGCAGCCGCAAAACACGGGACTACACAGTGTGTTTCTTGCAAACGGGGAAAATCAGCAGTGACCGTTCCCAGCTTGAAAGTCTTTCGGGAAGGGCAACTGTGTGCGTGTCCCCAGATATAATCCTGCCTCACGACACAGTGAACTCACTCGTATCTATTTATAAATGAAAAACAGTATCAAGCTTTTGAAATTGAAAAATAACTAGTTATCACTTAATAGCTCTTCCTCGACAACTCTGCTAAAATCACTAAAAACGGTCCCAATTCCAAACAGCACAAAGATCAAGGGTGTGAGGGGTTCTTCTGTCCTAGCTCCTGACGGCGGAAACCGAAACTCGTAATCACGCATAACCACGATTTACTTCATACACATGTGGAGGGACCCGACAGCTGCTGGCAGACGTGCACCCCCAGGGAGGAGACCCAGGCCACTCGCCTGGGCCACATGCACGGCCCCGCACACCAGCCACATGACCAGTGGATGCCGCCGAACTGGCCTCGTGACCAAACTGGTTTCCATACAAGAGCCACTACTTTTAGGAAAACACAAATGTGACTCACATTAATGGGTGGAAGGGACAGCCCACTGTCAAGAAATTGTGTGCTTCTGTGCGGGAAGTAGCAAGTGAAACAGACCTGTTTTCATCACACGTTAATTCCACAAGACCCCCGTGCCAGCCTGAGCAGCCTCAGGGACAGGCGGTGAGGGCAACAGAGGAGGGAGAGCCTGCCCACTGCCCTTCCTGGCCCCGCCCCCACTCACCGCCCCAGGCCGCGGCGTGGGCACCGCCCCGTTGTAGCGCACCCACTTGGTGTGGGACTGCTCCACCGTGGCGCTCTGCATGTACTTCCCGTGGGAGAAGACCGCCTCGGCCGTGGACAGGTTGTAGGCGCACACAGCTGACAGCCCCACGTTGTTCCTGGGGAGGAGGGGGTACGGTGACTGTCCTGGAGGGTGGGGGTGCAGACAAGCGGCCCACCCACCCCTGCCGGGGCACCTACAGCTGTGGGGTGAAGACCCCGTAGAACACAGGTTCCTTCAGGTCCGGGGACCTGAGGACAAAGACAGCCTGCAGCACGTTGAAGATGAGGTTGCTGTCCGGCCTGGAGCAGATGAGCCTGGCCTTCAGGAAGGACGTCCACTTCTTCTGTAAGATCCGCAGGCCGCCCTGGTCCCCCTGAAACCGCAAAGACTTGCCTGGTCAGAGGAGGGGCAGAGTCCCCATAAGTGGGTGGGAGTTAGTGATGTCTGCCAGCCGGGAGTGGCTCCTCGTCAGTGGATGGAGGCCAAGGTTGAAAAAGGCCGTGGACGGCCACGTGGCCATGGTGCCACTTCCGTGCCAGCTGGGGTCTCAGATTAAAACACAAAAAGCAAGAAAGGCCTGTTGGCAAATCACCCGGCTGCGGCTGAAGCAACTGGTGGGCCGCGCGTGCACAGGCATCACAGAGGCAGACCGTCCTCTGCCCCAGCCTCAGCCACCTCTCTGGGCTCCCCACCCCTGCCAGCGAGCCGTGGAGCCAGGGCCACGGACAAGGGGTTCCCCTCTGCCTCAGGCCAACACATAGGGGCGTCTCCCCAAAAGACGTTCCTCGTCCCAGAGGAGACAGCCATTTCAAAGGGCTTCAGCCAGGTCGTCCACAGGCCCATTTTCATGAGCTCCCCCGCGCTCCCCCAAGGATGATCACAGATAAGCCTGACGTGACCTGCTCTGGAGAGAGCCCCGAAACGCGGAAACATAGATGCGGAAGACTCGAATCAGAGCATCCTCATTTATTTTGGGGGAGGTGAGCACACCCCCCCTTCGCCACTTGACGCAGGAATGCTGAAATCCCACTTCCGCAGAGTTGGGCTCATACGGCGAACAGAAGCTAACTTTCCACAGAATCTGGGAGGGCTGAGGAAGGTGCGCCAGCGCAGGCCTGCAGAGGCCAGGCCGCTGACCACAGTCAGGGCGCCGACGCTCCGGGGTCAGCAGGGAGACCCCCAGGCTGCCTGGGGCCAGGCCGAGCACACCCCTCTGTGGCTCGGGGGGATGACGCAGTGAACAGACATCTCTGGGGAGGCCTGGAGCCGGGCCACCGCCCGCCCTCCAGATGCGCGGAGCGCCTGGCCAGGACCAGAGGGGAACTGGGGAGTGGGCTCACCTTGCACACCCTCGCCACCCGGGGGATCATCAGCTTGAAGACAAACTCATACTCCACAGACACCTCGGTGAAAAAGAAGTAGACCCTGTCGTCCCCACTGTCCACGCCATCAGGGCTCTCCCGGACCACGTCGGCAAAGACGAAGTTCGGCTCTGTAAGTGAGAGAGGCCAGTTATCCCTCACCGCACTGCGGGCCCGGGTTTCTCCCAGCCCGGGACCGGGCCCGGGTATCCACCCCTCCACCCGCCACCCGGGCATCCCCCACCCGCCGCCTGGGCCTGGGTATCCCCCCGCCACGCCGCAGGACCCGGGCCCCTCCCTGCAAAGATGCATGCCGGTTGCACACACCATACCCCAAACACACTCTAGGGCCCGGAGTGGGGACAGTGCCCATCCGTCCTCCTCAGCATAAGGAGGAACCGGAGATCGTGGTTGTAAAACACACCGGCCAGCCCTGAGAATCCAGGCTGGGCCTCCCGATGGCAGGCAGCCTGGGGACCCTGGGGACCCTGGGGACCCAGAGCCCCCATCCCCGGAGAGCCACCAGAACACATGGATTTGCTGGTGTAAACAGCACATGCCTCAAGCAGACAAAGCGCGACCAGCAGATCCAGCCCCCAGTGAGGGGAGGCCTGGGGTCCTGTGTCTCCCTGACCGCCCGCCTCCAGGAGTTCGCAGCCCGCCCACCAGCACCAGCTAGAGCCCCGTGTGCACAACCGCATGAATCTCCCACGCACACGTCGTCTGTAGGTGAGCGAGCTGGTGAGCCCAAGTGCAAGGACCACATAGGCTGTCCTGTGACTAAGAACCACCACCTCTGTCTTCAGGGAGGGGAGGCGGCCTGCCAGCGGGGAAGGCCCCAGCCCTCGGGCCCTCGCGGAGCCTGAGAGCCGCAGACAGACAGACAGACGGACCCGGGGGCGGGGCACCTGTCTCTTACCGTTAAGCCACGGTATCGCGTACTCTGTCCTCAGAGGACTGTGGGACGAGTTTCGGGAGATGATGGGCTCGCTTCCCAGAAAGTTATAGGACGTCCCGGAATACAGCTCCCCATCTTGAGTGGCCCCAGAAGAAAGAGGAGGGGGGATGGTCAGCGGCCAGACACGAGCCCCTCCCCCAGGGAAGCCGGGAGGCCCCGAATGCTGCGTCCGAGCCTTCCGTCTCATTCCCTCGCGTGGTAAGTGTGCGCTCCACACGAGAGCCACCTGACGAGCAGCTGGGGCGTGAACACCAGGAGACACGCACCCGGAAGTAACAAATTCCCGTGTAAAAGAGGCCACGGGACTTCCAGACCCCAGGGGGTGGCCCGTCACCCTTCTGCACAGTGAACCCAAGCATCATACAGGTGTCTACGGAGAGGCTGCGCGTCTTCCGTTAAGGACAGGGAACAGGTCAACTGGGGTGGGGGGGCTGGGCCTGCCCCGTGCTGACCTGGGGGTGGACTCACCGACCATGACAGACGAGTAGCTCTGTGCCGGGTCAAAGGGGCACCTGCCCTTGCCGTCCTCGTTTCTCCCCAGAAACTGAAACGACGTTAAGTTCTACAATTGAACGAGAAGAAAGAGCATCACGTGATGTCTGAATTCCTCATCTCCCAGTGCCCGTCTGCTCTGCCATTTACTTTTACAGACTCGCCATCTTGGGGACGGAGGGAAGAGCAGTGTGGGCAGCCACGCGAGTCCCAGGACTGGAGGATGGTGCCGTGACAGCCGCGTGGGACGTTGGAGCCTCAGTTTACTCCTCTGTACTCAGCTCTAGGGCCCCAGAGCAGCCCCGAGGCAGGACGAGGTGGGACGCATTCAGCGAGCAATCGAAGGCCGCGCGCAGGCTGTTACCTTCAATGAGGGCAGCACCCAAGGTGGTGGGGAGTCCCCACCTGCTGCCACCCCATTCTGCACTAACAGAAAGCACGGGTGACAGTCTCGGTGTTGGGGACCCTCCTGGCTTGACCCGAGAGCCCAAAACCAGCCGAGGAAAGAGCAGGCAGCCCTGATATGTAAGGAACGAGAGGTCTGTACACAGAGAAACGGGCCCAAGCTCTGTGACGAGTGACCAGCTGGTGACGTGCCCGCACAGGGCAGGAAATCTGCTTCCACGCCTGAACGTAGGGGAAGCTGGAGAGTCAGAGAAGAAACCCGCTGCACAGAGGCACAGCCGGAAGGACGCACCAGCTTCTGGAAACACAGGACGTGCCTTCATGAAATGAAATGTGGGCGCCTCCTCACGCCTTCCAGCCCAGAGAAGCTGAGGAACACGGACAGACCGTGGGGAGCGGGCTCACAGGCCGGGGGAGCCGGGGCCCACCTCCTCAGGTGGACCCCCCGCCTCGGGTCTCAGAGTACAAATTGGGGCATGAATGGACGGCCTATCTAGTGGGGGTTTGGGGGCCATGTGAACCAGGGGGGCGGGCAGGAGACGAGGTTGTTGGGAATGACTGTAAATCTTCATGTGTGACGACGGGCTCAGTGTTGGTCACGTAGGCATTTAGGGGTCACGGTGCCACGTGCCCACGAACGTCCCCTCCTGTGCCATCTAGGCACCAGATACACGTGTGTGTCCTGCTTTCCTGTTGGCCTGAACGTTCTTCTTGAAGATACCGGACAAAATGATAGGCCTCGATTGAAACAAAACGTCTGACTTTTTTACCTCAACAACTGGTCTATGGGATTTGAGGCTTAATCTGTATTTTCAGCTTCTGAGGGACTAGACTCCAGCCCTGTGACGTGTGGCTGTCACACACGGCCTGGCACACACTTCCCTTATGCAAAACCAGGCGACATCTGTCCTTCAGACCGAGACTCAGAGGCTGGAGCACCGCACCCCACAGGGCCAGCGTCTGCGGGCTCAGACCACCGCCCACGCCGCGGGTGTGCCCGCCCGGGGGTCTGTGCACAAACTCCGCCTCCCAAGTGCATTTACAGCGCTTCTCTCCTGGCGGCTGTTGTAAGCGGCTCACCAGGCGCCTGAGGCAGAGGAGTTCCTCCCGGCAAGATGCTGCCGTCCCCGCGCCCCCAAGTGAGGGACTCGGGAGGACTCTGTAGGGGCCCCTCCACAGAGACCCTAAGGCGGCAGCCGGCGGGCCGGGTTCAGCGGGGCTGCTGCAGGTGGGCGTGGGAGGCGCCCGCACACTCATGCTGTGCCATCGCCCCTGGGGGGACTGCGCTCTGGGACCCAGGTAGGCAGCCCCGAGTGCCCAGCAGACATGGCCCCGTGATGCCCCAGGAGCGGCGGGCACAGACGGCGCTTCCACCACACACGCCCACCCCCTCCAGCTCCGGAGGCTGCAGGCTGAGGTCCGGGAACCGGTGGCCGGTGCCTGGCGGGGGCCCCTCCTCTCCGTCCTCACGTGGTGGCTTTCCTAGAAGGCCGTCCGTCCTGCGGGCCAGGGCCTCACCTCTGTGAGCACATGTAACCGTGAAAGCTCCCGACTGGACGGCCCACCTCCACACACCCACACTCACGGGGGCATTCGGGCTACCACGCGTGGATTTGGGGACACATTCAGCCCATAACACAGCTGAGCCGAGAACACGCAGTCTGGGAGCAGAGTCCTGACCCTCCCTTTGACCGGGACGGAGGCCACAGCAGGCCCCCGACAGAACACAAAACGTGGCAAAGAGAAGGACACAGGAGGCTGGACCACGGCACCCTGGCACTTCTGTGCGTCACCGACACGCTTCCCAGAAGGTTCCCCCACTGCCAGCTCCACGGGCCTGTGTGTCCCGCCCTGGCGAGCGGCCCCGTCCTCACCCCCACTGCTGTGCGGAGAAGGGAGCCCCCGACGCCGCCCAGGCCCCACCCGGCTGTAAGTGCTGACCGGGACGGGGGGCGGGGATCAGCCTCACCAGGTAGTCACAGGCTGGCTGGAAGGCGTTGGTCCCACACACGTACAGGACACTGGCACTGAGCGGCTGCAGCACGCGGATATAGTTGAGACATTCTGTCTGCGAGAGAGAAACACTCACCTGAGCCACCATCCGGCTCCCACAGACGCCCGCCCCCGCTGTCCACTGCAGAGCAGGGGTCTGGCCAGCGCATGCCTGACACGGGCTCGTCACGGCTGCGCGTCCCCGGATACCCCGTTTTCTTGTGCTGGCTCGGCCCTGCCTGGGCGGTGGGCACAGGCTCGGAGCCCCAGCCCCCCCGAGAGACCTGCGTGTGCCCGCTGGCCCGGGAGCTGTGCCTCCTGCAGCGTCCATGCCCCGCCCACCAGGGGCCACGTGGATTTCACCTCAGCCACTAATGCACACTCAGCAAAGACACACAGACCCCAAATCTTCCCCTACACCCACTGCCAAAAACCCACATTTACTCGCACTCAACACAGCGCGTGCCTCCCGCGTGTGGCCAGAGCCCAGAGGTGAAGGTACAGGGATCCAGCCCGCCTTCCGTGCCCCCAGGGGAATCCCACCCTGCTGGCCCCAGTGCAGGGGGCAGGCTGGGCGAGGGAGGGGCTGCCCGGGCTCCACATGACAAAGGGAAACCAGATGCCACTGGGGCCACAGTTCTAGGCTGACGTGTGCTGTCGTCTGAGATTATCTCCGCTCGGGGGAGTCTTACGTTGTTTGTTTTTTGGTTTTTGCTATGATTGTTTTCAGCTGGTTGGCAGTAATTCGTCCTGCCCACAGGGGCCGGGAGGGGCCTGACGGTCTGATTTGGCGCTCAGGCCGCTCCCTGCAGCCCCAGTTATCACAGTGCAGAGCCTGCCCTTCCCCGTTTCCTAGGGCGACTTCGGATCTACCAACTTTAGTACAAGTGTCTAATGTGCTGAAAAAAGGCACCAAAACCTTTTTTATTTTTGATTATTCTGAAATTGGCCAACTGCTGAAATGTACCTTAACTCAGCCATCCTGCCCCACCTGCCACAGAAGACGGGCTCTTCTGCTTGGAGACTCTGACGCAGGCCCCGTGCTGGTTCGGGGGGTTGCCCAGAGCCCCCCGGGGAGGCGGACACCCGGCCCAGCACCTCCCAGGGAACGAGCAGATTCTCAAGGGGTGGTTGCTGCCCGAACTCCAGAAATCACACAGCACCCCCTTCAGGCTGCTGGGGTGCCGCGGGGGTCTGAACCCTGCCCTTCACACCGCCAGCCAGCGGGTACCGGAAGGCATTTTCTGTCCCAACTTTTAGGGCCATTTGAATATACCTGACGAAGCTAAATCTTGAGAGCGAGCATTTCTCCAGTGCGCGCCATGTGCGGCACCTGCTTGTGGCGCCCTGCCTCATCACTGGGGCGCTAACAGGCAGGATGGGGCCACAGGCTGCTGGGGTTCTGGCACCAGAAATTACCTGTCTTGATTTCCCCTTTTCTGCACATTTTGCTTTCTTATCTTCTGAGACCTTCCAGTACGCCTGCGGGGAGAGATGAGAATCCATTTCAGCGCACGCTCTGTTTAAGGGGGAGGGACACGGCATAAAACCGCACGGCTGACAAAGCACAGGGAGGCTGGAAAGCAAGGCTCGGCCGGCAGACACGGGGTCCTGAGCAACCAGGGCCCCCCACCCCAAAGCGCCTGGCTGCCCAGAATCCTATCACTCGCAGTAGAAAAGCTAAAAGGGCTGACGGCCGGTTTTCAGTCAGTCGTCAGTGAGCTGAGCCACAGGGACTTTCACCCAGCGCCGCGGGCTCCGGCACGCACCCCTGAGCGAATGGACGGCAGGAATAAAGGACAAGAACTGGGTTTCCTTTGGCGTCAGTGGACCTCACAGCCATGGCCGCGAGGGTGCAACAGCCTGCTCCCCTCGTCTCCTCTCTTCCCAGCAGCTGAGCCCTCGCTTCCTTCCCGTCCCTGGAAGCCAGCAGGTGCCCCAGCCCCTTGCCCTCCGGAGGATGGAGCCTCCCCTATGCCTGCCTCCCTGTCCCCAAGCTGTCCCACCTCCCCATGTGACAGTCCCACAGCCGGTGCCCAGACAAAGCCAGCCGTCAGCTGCTCAGAGGTCAGGACGTGCCTGGAGCTGCCCGCCGGTGGGGCAGTGAACCCCATGCGTGCCGTCCTGTGCTAACTCGCCTCCCGCACGCGCATCAGCGCGGGGCGGCTTCAGGGAAGCTAAGTCCTCCCCAGAACACACGGAAGCAAAGTCCTGACAACGGGCGACTTCCTTCACGGTCTGACGCACAAACCGTGTCACTGCTGCCTACTTAAAATGCACAGGGACCGGGAGGTGGGGGGGAGGGTGCATGCTGACGGGCCCTGGTCACCTTCCCAGGTTCCACCCAAGCTTTCCTGGGTGTCTGTCACACCCCCAAGGCCCTGAGGCCACGCCGCAGCCCCAGGGGACGCAGGATGCATTAGCAGAGCAGCGAGGCTCTGACCGCACCTACGGGGTCAGCCCTCCCCTGATTTTCAAAGGCTGATGACCGCAATCCTGTTCATTAGTCAAGTGGAAATAAGCACGCGGTCGGGGACCAAGACGGAACAAAGAGCTCTGGGGCAGAATCAAGAACCATCCTGATTCCAGAGAGAAGAGGCCTCCCCAGCCGCTGGGCTCGCACCTGAGCACCTGCCCTCCAGGCAAGGGACGGTCTGAGCATCCAGTACGGCTCTGGCTGCCAGGGGTCCAGGCCCTTCAAACACGGCCCCAAGGTCACGCTCAAAAAGTAAGTAACCCGAACACCGCTATCTCCCTCTGGAGGGAAGGAACTCATTAAAGACTGGCAAATACGGCAAAGATTCCACGCGCTGCTCCAGCCACTTCCCAGGAAGTGGCCGCGGGGGACGTGAGCGGCCCCACCAACGGCGTCCCGCTCCCGGGTGCGGAAGCGAGGGCTGGGCCAGAAAGTCCCGGCTTGCAATCCTCAACACACGGTGGCCCTGCCTGCTCTGCCCCTGTCCAGGGCTGGGGCGAGGACCCTGCTCAGTGGGGGCACCGGCCTGTCACTGAGGACGCAGAGGGGTGGCTTTCCCAGCGAGGGGCCAGCGCGGCGACGGGACGTAGGGACGTGACGGGCAGAGCAGACGGCCTCACCGCTGGCCTTGCGTCAACCGCATTCGAGGATCGTTATACGAGTCTGAGATCCCAGCGTCCTGATGACACTTGTGGATGTGACCGAGGTGTTCTGGTCACTTGGACAAAAAGGAGCCCTTTCCTTTAGGGGACACCGAGGGAAGCCCCACGGACAAGGCATGTGTCTGGGACTGGCCTCAGAGCCTCTGGAGCGGAGGACGGGGTGGAGGAGGGCGCCCGGCTGCAGGACCCGGGAGGGGACAGGCCTCACGGTCACTGCTTCCTCCACTCCTCTGTGCCCGAGACTCTCCGTCATCAAAAGTGCAAAACTCCAGGGGGTGGGGGGGTGAGCGGCCGCCCGGCTCACCTGAAACACGTGGTCGGACGCAGGAGGGAAGGAAGCTTCGGGGTGACCGGCCCCCGGCCCGCAGGCCTGTGGGACGGGTGAGGGGCTGCAGCCAGGGAGGGGCCAGGCGCCCCGGGAGGGGGCCGGAGCGGGGTGCCGGCGCCTCACCTCGTGCCACTTCTCCGAGACGTTCCGTGCGTTCAGGGCGAACACGGCCTCCCGGGCGCCCACGTACAGGGTGCTCTTGTCCTCGCTCAGCAGCAGCACCGAGTAGTTGAAGATGCCCGGCTCGTGGAACTTCTCCAGCCACACCTCTGCGGGGGTGGGGGGGGGTGTGTGAGGCGCTTCTGGGCCCAGCACGTCCCGAGCCCCCTCCCCGCCTCCCTGCACAGTCACACCACCAGGCTGTGCGTGGATCCGCGGCCCCGAGGCCAGAGCAGACCCGCTGGGATGCCACCGCGAGCAGGGGACCGCGAGGCGCCGGAGCCACCGGGCTCGGCCAGCGCTGTGGCCCGACGTCCCTTTAGCTCCCTCCAGCCCTGCACGGCGTGCGGCCGCCTGGGAGCGTGGTCCCCGCAGCGTGACCCACGGAGCCCGCCAGCCGCCATGTCTCCCAAGCCCTCGTCTGTGCTTAATCATAACACAGATCAGGTGTACGAAGAATTGAGCTGTTTAAGCTTTTCTTATTCAGAAAAATCGTGATTTAACTCAAAACCTTAAAAAAAAAGTTTCAGTGAATCTGTCCCTTAACCCAAGCAGTTTTCACGTGTGACCACCAGAAGCGCGTCAGGGGAGACAGAAGGGGTTTCTCCCTCCCTTCGCAGGTAACCGCGCCCGTGACTCGGGTGCAAGGTACTCCCATCAGCTGCTCAGAAGGCGCACGTGTGTGCGAGGCCTGGGGGCGCCTTTTCTCCGGTTTGTCTGTCCAGCACCGGTGTGTCTTTTTATTTTTTATTATGCAGATTTTTAACTTTTTAAATGTTTATTTTTTTGAGAGAGACAGCATGGGCAGGGGAGGTGCGGGGGGGGGGGGGGGGGGGCCAAAGCAGGCTTCAGGCTCTGAGCTGTCAGCCC